CACATTATCAAGGTATATAATCTAGGTCTAGATAAAATAAAAAACAACCAAAATATTTCTTATCAAAAAACATCTCGAAAAATAATTTATATTTTGTAGGTGTCAGATAGAAGTCGATCAATACTTATCAAAAGATGCAGGGCCGGCTCCAGACATTTTTGTACCCCGTGTAAAAGTTATTTTTGCCGCCCCTTGTAAAATTTAAAACCAAACTTTCACAAAAAGAAAACACAAAACTATTTATAATATGGAAATTTTATTGTCAAATAATTATAATTGGCATTAGGAAAGGACAGTCCTTGATTACTAGGGATGGGATTTTAGTTATTTTACCTTTTTTCAACCGATGTAACTAAATTTCAAAACCAATAATGCCAAAATGTGTTTTAAAAGATTTTCTTTTATATGAACCTAACTTGTTTTATTTTATTTTATCCAGGGCGTGCAATTCAACGGTATAAAATTTTTTCTTATGGTCACAGACTGTAACAGTAACTTTCTTTACAGTTACCTTCTTTGTAGTGAGCTTATGTTCTGTCATAGAACTTCTGTGTAGTAAGTGTCACTTAGTGAAACTCAGTTTATTGCATATAAATAGTTTATTGTGGGTATGTTCTGTGTATGCGGCTAAACAAAATTATAAACGAAACCTGAACTTTTAATGTTTTTTTTTACCTAAACTGCTGTTTTTTTTTAACCTAAAATGCTTTTTTTAGTACCTTTTTAGTTACCTATTTTTCAGTTTTTAGTACCTAAATATCCCATCTTTACTGATTACATCATACGAATAAATGCGAAATATCAGTCTATTATTGTCACATTCTTAATTCAAACAAAATATAGTTTGTGGAAGTAATAAAATATAAATTTATTTATAAAAGATAAACAATTTTTCTGAAATGGAGTATTTTTGAAAGGAACAAAAACTAAATTAACTTAATTTTACAATAAAAAAACTTTTTTTTATAAAATATATTAAACAAAAAATAAAAAAAGTGTTTTGGACACTATACCATACAGGTTATAGTTAAAATTAAGCAAATCTTATAATTAAGGTAAATTTTATCCTTTGTCCTTCAATTATTGTAGAGTGTATTTTTTTACAATTTTCCGAAATTTTTGTGGCCCCTTGAGCCTCGAGTCGGCCCTGAAAAGATGATTTAAAAAAAAGAAAAATATAAAAAATAAAAAATAAAATTACAATCATTTATTGTTTTTGATAACCTGTTACAACCATGGTACTAAGACAACAAAGTATGTCCACGCGCATCCAGGGTTGCCAGATCAGTCAGCGGAATTTACCCAATCGGAATTTAAAAATCCCCTAAATTTAGGAATTGAAATCAAAACTCCCTATATTTTATTATATTAATTCATTATTGAATTTTAACTATTTTTGTTAATAAATTTTTTTTCATATGTATGAAATCCCAAAAAATTGTTTTTGTTACGAATAAATCCCCATATTAAAAAAAAAACATCTCTTATCATAATATGATAAGTTTATTTAATATATATTATTATATTATAATAATATATATTTATAATTATAATAAACTTAAAACGTTTTCTTCTAAAAATACTTCTTATAAAAAATACATATCTTTGGGTTATAGAACTAATTTTCAATGTTAGAAAACAATGTTTTCAAAACATTTCCAAGACGAATTTATTTTCGTTACGAGTATCATACATGCTAGCATTAAATTTATTTAACTTAGTTTCGGTTGGTATAAAACTAATACAACTCTGCGTTAACTTGTCCCCCAAGTAAAAATGATAATTTTTTATTTTTGGTTGTTTCACTGTTGGTCTAGAATTTGATTTTTGTGAAGCCACCAGGTCTAGTAATAACATAACATAAGTGGTTCTGCACTAAGGCAAGAATTTTAAGAAATCAACTTTTGAATATTAGAGCTTCACGGAAGATAGCTTCACGGAGGTTAGGATTTCGTATGTTTTTTTAAAACATCCCTTTGTATATTTGAAATAAGTTATTTTATCTTTTGACACCTTAATATTTTTAAAAAATACAATTGTACATACATAAAATATTTATAAAAAAATCTACTTACTGAGATATTACACTTCACGGTGGATAGGTTTTTAAATAGCAAATTAATGAACTTTTGAGTTATAAAACAGCAACACTCTCATCTGCATATAAATTCTAACTGACCTTCAGGAATCACATGCATCTATAATGTCGTAAATAGAGGTTTTTGCTTATTTAAAATGATTAAAGCGCCATCAGTTGCATAAAATTTAAAACAAAAACAGATTCACGGAGGATAGAATCAATTTTTGTAACACCTACATAAATGGTTATAAAAATTATTTCTATTAATTTTTAATAATATTTTATATTTAATTCGATTGCTTTGGATGTGTTTAATTTACTTAGTGAACTGATATTTTTAGTATGATTTTACTACCTCAGATATTTGAAAACATATAGGTTAAGATGGAAAGAGGATAGGTTTTAGACTTTTAAAACATTGTAAAAATAAATTAATTGCGCCGCAATTATTGCGGTTAAAAATCTGGAACCTGAGCTGTAATATCTACTTAATTATGAAAGATCAAAACACAATAAAAGTGTAGGTCAAACTCATTTAGTTTTATTAAATATCACTGGGTAACACCATCGGGGGACATTTCGTGAGATGCACCCATATATACTCGTAATAAGTAATTAAAATAAATTTTTCAGAGATGTAATCTCAAATACTTTCACAAGGATTTCAAGATTTAATATTTAAAAGTTTTTATCGAGTAGTGAATCTATCTTTATCTAAGTTTTGTCACGTAGTGACGTCATGCGCGCGACTGTCTAAAATTTGTTCCATATTTTTTATTTATATCTTTTTAAAATTTATAGCAATTGTATAAATTATTTTTAGCAATTATCATGTTTTGATAATTTTTGAGGGCTCTTTAAATAGTTGGAACTGGTACTGTTAGTTCGTTGGTCTCGATTTATTTTTCATCTTCCTTATTCAGCTTATTATTTGGATTATTTAAAGAACAATTCTGCAATTGGCTGATGGATTTTGGGCACACACATATCTCAGTTATTAGACATGGGACCCACATCAAATTTATATGAGTTTATAATGATATTATACAGTGTGCATTAAAACGAATAGATACACTTAAATACACCAAGTGCCAAACCCCGCCCACTGTGGTAGGGATATTAGTCCTGAAATGCTGTTTAAACGTGCGCAGAAATTTTTATGATAGGCTAGGGTATTGTTTAACTGCTGCTGGTGGTCTATTTGAACATTTAATTTAGAAAAAAAAATATTCTCGTTATTTTAGAATTATTTTTGTTTGAGAATTTATAGGTTTTATTTTTATCGAATTCGTTTGTTTTGTTTTAATGCATTTCTGCAAATAAAAACTAAGTATTGTTTAAAATCCATTAAATTCCAGTTAATGGCGAAAATGTATTTCTTAAAAACTATACAAATTTCCCTACGAAAGCGTCGGTGCTACTGAACAAACAGTAGATCAAACTGCATGCCCTTGTATCTGGCTGCATGCCGCGCTGTTACCATATGCTATTATTGTTTCCTAAAAGGGTTGTTTATCTTATTTTTTAATAATAAAAGTAAAAAAATTAACTAAATCAAATTATTTTTGACATATTATTAATTTTTTTGTAATTTTTAAAGTTTCAAACAAATAAAATTGAACTATTTATTAAATAATTATAATCGTTCTTTTCTGATTTAAAACAACCTGGCAACTATGGTTCGTAATTACGAATGGCTTGGTTTAAACCACGCCCAATTAAAGTTTGTTTCTTTTTCTCTGATCAGAATATATTTTGTCATCCTTGTCTTCAGCCTTACTTACTTGATTCTATACAGTCTGTATAGACAAGTTCTGCGCAAGCAGAATTTAAATCGAAGTTTGAGAAAAAAAATTACTTTTTAAGTGTGCCCCCCAGCCTCCTGCCCCCAAATTAAGATAATTCAAAGTAACGTGGTACAATATTTAATTCACTGAAGTTTATCAACAAATTTAAAATTTTATTTAAAAAATTCAAGTATTAAAGGTTTTATGCCATTTTAAATTTTTATTATTTCTTTTACTAAATCCTGTACAATAACTTATCTCCAAAATACTAAAATTAAAATAAAAAAATATTAAATTTCATTTTTTTAAATCTGGACTGCGGCAACGTTGCAAATTTAGGATTTTGGTTGGTAAATACAGTTGTCAAGTTGGTCGTATTGATTAAAACAAACTAAGCTAGTTTTAAATCTAATTGTGGTTATGTATAAATTATTGTAGGTTACATTGTGCAGTTGTCAAGTTGAGTTGTCGAAATTCGTAGTTAAAAATACAATTAATTTGGCTTTGGTGGTGCTTGGATGAGTAAAATCATATAAAAAAGTAGTTAAATATAGGTTGCTTTACGGCCCAGAAGAGAAAGTATTCCTAGCGGATAATAATCTTCGCTTTGAAAAGAATTTATATAAAAGAAATTAAAATTTTTTGTGAACGTAAATGTTGTCCAATGGTGAATAATGTGAAAATAATGTATGATGTAATATTTATAAAACCAAATTCGTTACTTTTTTACTGCAAAAATGTCCATAAGGCGATGTACTTTTTCTTCCATTGTGGCATTTGGCATAATTTCATCAAAATGAAGTTTTGCCCTCAAAAGGGCTTTAACATTTTAATTCGTTGCTATTATTTTTGGCATAATTATCTTTTTATTTATAATTGACAAGTAAATTATCAATAATAAATATTATTGTCAATTTGACAATGTCAAAGTATTTACATAAATTCTTTAGCAGAAGTACCATTTTTAAATACTAAAAATACTAAGTCAAACTGGCATAAGCCACCAACCTAACAAAAAACACGAGTCCAGATAAAAAAAACTAACTGTATAATATGCATCTTTACAGTTGGCAACACTGCATCGCGTACAGTAGTGTCGATAAAAATTCAAAACAAATCAACTCGTTCTCAGTCGAATTAGGACATCTCACCGATCAGTAAACGTTACAAGTGTGCAGAATATAATCTTGTTCTATACTAGTGTCGTAAGCAATTAAAATTAAACATGGAGGTGCCCGAACAGGTGGAAAATATACTGAAAACCATAACGAAAGACGAAAATATAGATGAGTACGACATTGATATACACGCTGGAAATAAAAAAGGTGATGGATTTTTGGGCGAATTATTGTTTTTGGATGTTATTGAGAAGAAGACCGATAAAGTATTAAGTCTAGTTTTTAAAAAAGCTTTCCAGCAGGCGAATCTTAGGGATAAGATGCCTATTAGACAGACTTTTATTAATGAAATTTATTTCTACGAGGATGTTTACCCAGAGTTAAATAAACTACAAAGTGACGGCAACATTACTAATAAATTTACAAATATTGCTAAATGTTTTTACTCTACATTGGAACCGTGTAAGGAGTACATTGTGATGGAAAACCTTAAAGCAAAAGGGTTTGAGGTGTTCGATAAAACAAAACTTCTCAGCATGGAGCACATTGAACTGATATTTAAAACGTATGGTCGTTTTCATGGTATATCCTTTGCTCTCAGCAAAAAAAATCCGGAAAAGTTCCAAGAAATAGATGAAAAATGCGTCAACGTGTTTAATATTTTTGGAACTGAGGATCATTTTAAGACAGCGATGCTAACAATGGCCAAAAGTGTCTATGACAAACTGATTCCAGGAGAGGACGACAAATTAATTAAATCTCTGGAAAAGTATTTGGATAAAGGACACGATTACTATTTGGAGGGTATAAATTATAAGGGAAAATATAATACAATAAATCATGGCGATTGTTGGAGCAACAATATGATGTTTAAGTATGTAAGTGTCTATTTAATTCACACCAAGGTTATCTGCTACATTTATTTAAAAATTAATAACTTTTAAAAATAATTCATGCTAATATTTATTTGGTTCCATTATGTTCCTAATTATATCTTATCAATTTTTTATTATGACAATAACTATTGTGTTTCCAGATTTTTTATATTGATATTATTATTATTAGATAATAGATAATTAAATATATCCTAACAAAGTGCAAATATTTAGGTCATTCATTTTTTAATATCAATTATTACCTTTTGAGATACAGGGTGTTAAAGTTAAATCGTTAAGTAATCTTTAATCAACGGTTAAATTTTAATTTAATAATAACATTATGATAGTTTTAGAAACTTTTTTTTCCTAACATTGAGTACGTTTTTTGTTAGTATTTTGGCTTAAATTTAATGTACTGAAGTAATTTTTATACAACAAATAGATCATATTTATCTTTACAATATGAAATTTCTGTGGGTAAAAGGGATAAGTCAAAAAAACAATTTTTCAATAGAGCCTTTAAAGTGTTCGCCTTAATTCAGGAAATATATTTATGTTTAGCGGGTATACGCTTTTGTAAGCATATGACATGGGCTACTGAAAAATTGCTTTTTTTGACTTATCCCCTTATGCCTTTTACCCACAGATTTTAAATACTAAAACTAAAATTTTAATGTATTTTTTGTATAAAAACAACCATTATTTGACATTTTATGTCGTTTATTTTAATTATTGAATTAAAAGGGCAACAAAGTAAACAAGTTTCGGTATTTTTTATGCAAATTAAGCCCACAAAATTTAATCCATTGCATAATTTTACTTTTTTCTCCCTTAAATTTATTAAATGGTATCAAATATCGAATTGAATTATAGTATATATTATTGTGGTTAATCCTCATCAACTTCTTTCCGCTATACCCATAGATATATCTATAGAAATGTAAAAAAACGGTTTTTTCAGATTTGAAAAAAACCTAGAAAAAAACGGTTTTTTGTTTTTTTTCAAAATGAAATTTTGATTAAAATATATATTAATAATAAAGTGAAATGTATAATATATTAAATTTTTTACTATTGAAAATTTTTGACCGAGACTAAAAAATCTAATTTCTTATTGTTTGGTAGTTTCCACATTAGAAACCAATACAAAAAATTAAAGGATAAAAAAATTGTTTTGCGATTCTTCGGATAGCTGTATCTTTGTTAAAAATGGTCGTATTGGAGCCGTAAAAAAGGCAATTTGAAGCTTGAAGTTTCTTGTTTTGAGATTTTTGATGAAAAATGTGCAACGCTCAATCCTAACAAATACCGTAATAAAAAAACGATTTTTTTGGCTTTCTGGTCCACGGAATGTTCTGACTTAACATTTAGTTCTGCAAGAATTTGCTATTGTTTTTTCGAAAAAAAAAATTCCATACTCTACATGAATTTAAAAAATCATGAAAAAGTACTTTTGGTAGCTTTTTGAAAAATCAAGCGCTGAATCAAAAATATTATATGTAGTTACTTTTTTTAGGACCAAATCAAAACAAGCGCGGCCCTTATTGGTCAATTCCGTGGTGGTGGCGCGTGCATAGCGCGAGACTGTATTTACATTTACTAATTGTCATTTAGTGGCTAATTTTAGTCCATGAAACCTAAAAAATTAGGCAAATGGGACTTATCTTGAAAAAAAACATAAAATGTGAAAAAAAAACCTGAGAAAAAACAAAAAAACGGACCGTTGCATCTCTACCCATAGATATCTACCAATGCTCTACATTTGAAGTTACTTGGTGAAATTGTTCTCCATGTTCAGTTCGGCAAATTTATCAGGATTAAAAAAAAGTATTTTAAATGACATATTAACGCTAATCCTTTACAAAACGGAGAACATTTTAATAAATTGGCCCAATATGAACCAAGAACATTTTCAATGACAGCTTTAACACTGCCATATGCGACAAGCTCGTCAACTTTGAGAGCATTTTTGAATGCTTGATTTTTCATTAAACGTCGTATATCAATAGTAGTTATATCTCATACAATTTTGTAATGAAATATTACTTTGGTTTTTCTTGGGCGTAAAGGTACCGCAACAAAAACAAAACAAATTTACAACGACGACATAAATGTTCGTCTCCTTTATCTGCCACTTCCATTTTCTGCTCTTTTTTAATTTTGCTTCTTAAAATCACTTTAAAGTAATAATACAATTTAAAGTTTAAATTTTAAATGTCTATAATTAATAATAATAATAATAATAATAATGTTTATTCATATAATAAAGATTACAAAAAACGTCAGGTACATAGGTAAACAACAGATGCACAGATATGTTTGAACGATAAAGTAGATAAAGGCGCCTTTCTACTTCAATTCGATATTTAATTTTGATAAGACTTAATAAATAAGATTAGAGATTAAATTCTTGGGTACTTAGGCATGATGTGAATTAAAAAAATATCAAATAATAGTCAAAAAGTAATGCTTATAACAAAACCCATTTAATTTGTTGCTTTTTCAATTTAATTAGTAATTAAAAAAACGACACAAAAATTTCAAAAAATGATACTTTTTACCCAAAAAACGTTATAATTTTAGTTTTTGTATGGAGTCCCTGTATATTTTTGACAAAAAACGTCAAAAATAATGCAAAATAATTTAATAAATAATCAATATATTAACAAAAAAACTTACATTTTGAGATAATTGGGCAGAGCATGTTATTACGCAATTATTTAGAATCCTAGACGTCCTGGAGCAAAACGAGTGGCAATGAAATCAGCAGCCCAAAATTAGGTAATACTCAATGTTAGTAATTCAAACTATCGTAGTGTAATCATTTAATTATTTAATTTTAATTAAAAGGGTTGTTGGATGGTGTTAACTCCTTCAATTATTTTTTTATTATCGGAGTTAAAAATTTTATGAAAACCTTTAAAATTTATTTATTTATTTATTAAATTTGATCAGTTAATACTGTATACAGGGTGCTTATTTTTTTATTTAAAGAGCTACAAGGTCGGTTACATAAAAAAAAAGTTGCGTTGTTACGATCCTATTAAGGTGAAATTTATTAATTGAAAAAAATCTTGCGGTTCTCAAAATATTTTTCGTTATTTTGAAAAAGTAAGTTTTATATTTAAACATACACAATATTAAACATTTTCATCCAATTTCTTCGCTAATATATTTTGAATTACCATCACCATCTATTGTTTTTATAATGTCCGCCATAATTTATGTTGTTTGATACATCATTGGATTTCTTGATTTTTGTTTCAAGCATATAAAAATGTAATATGGCGGTCATGAGGAAAACAAAAAAGTGATAATAACTTAAAATCTAGTGCGCGAAAAAACTGGATGAAAATATAGATAAATGTGAATGTTTACATGTGAAACTCACTAGTAACTCACTAGAAATAACGAATAACGATTTTTGGTTTTAACAGGTTTTAATTTTTTTTTTAATTTTTAAATGCCATTTTAATATACCTACTTGTAATTCCAATTTAACCGAACTTGTAACTCTTTAAATAAAAAAGATAAGGCTCTAACGTTTTATATTTATTAAGTGTCAAAAAGACAGTCTTTTGTCTATAGATCGTAAAGGTCTATTAAATTTGTTGGATTATAATAATTAGTTGCAACTTTTTGCACACTTGTAGAAAAAATACTTTTATATCCGTTTCAAAATGTTCTATCCACATTTTTAGTAATCTATAAACAGTGGGATACCCTTAAATAAAAAAATTGTTTGATACTCGATTGCGAATTTCTTTTGCAATCTCGAATGATTTTTTTTCACGCTATCGCTAACAAAAAAAAACTTTCAATCTAGCATCAAAAATAACTATAGACCAATCGGGTAAAGCTTTTTACCTCCTAGTCTGTAAAAAACCTGTTAGGACCAATCAGACCTAACCTCACTTTCCATTTTAAATTATTATTATTATAATTGTACTTTTAACAAATAAATTGTGCCTTAAATAAGTGTTGTATATATGTTATATTGACATTCGGCTGAGAATTACACGGTGCTGTTCTGAGAGGTGATTTTTGGACTTTCTGTGAAACCAAATTTTTTTTATATTCTTGTTAATTAGGTCATAACTAAAATTTTAAGAGCAAAATAAAAAAAATTTTACGGTTAATTTTGTTTTAATTGGATGTTTATTAAAAATATGTATGCACACTTTCAATTCTCCAATTAAAACTTGCGATTTTTTTAAATATTATCATAACTTTTTAAATCAGATTAAAGATTAGTTAATTTCCTAAAAAAAAGGTCTATACATTTTTTACATCTTTTACTGTTTTGTTGTAATACACGCTTAAAGTTTTAATTTAAGGTTAAATGTATAGTATACATTTATTAAACAATAATTCTATAGAATTATTATAAGGGTGCCACATTTTATTTAGGGCCGATTTATTTATTTTTGATTTATGTGACGAATAATTTCTTTGGATACTAGATATTGCCAAGACATGAAAGTTATCGGCCCGATATACTTTACTAAAGATGAATAAACCGGTCCTTAGTTAAATTTCATGAATTTCTTCGTAACTTTTAATACAATTTTTCATTTTTGTTTATAAAAAACACTTTAAAAAACTAAACAAAAATTATAGAATACGTATACTGAAAATGACAATTCAAACGTCAAATAAATTTTTAATAGATCTAAGTTTCATGGCAACCTTTAAGGATATATTAATTAAGGGAACATAAATGTATAAGTCAAAGGTTAGATTAAAAGTTTGAACGTTTATTGCAACAAAACAGTAAAATATATGAAAAAAATTGTAAAAACCTTTTTTTTAGTTATGCAAATATTAAATATTTAAATTAAATCGCTAGTTTTAATTGGATAATTGAAAGAGTGCATAATATTTTTAATACAGCCAATTAAAACAATTCAAACCGTCAATTTTTTTTATTTTGCTCTTAAAATTTTAGTTATGACCTAATTAACAAGAATATAAAAAAATAGATTTCACAGAAAGTCCAA